ATGTGCGCCAGGCCCTGCCGTACCTGGAGAGCCCAGAGGAGCCCCTGCGAAAGCTGGCCATCAAGTTCCTGGGTGAGCCACAAGGCCGGGGTCCCTCCCCGCCCCGCTGCAGCTCGGCCCCAGCCCCGGCTGCTGCAGCGGCAGCAGGATGCGGCCCAGGGCATGTGGAGCCCCGAGTGGCCTGGCGCCTGCTGCCGCCCTGGGCCAGCCCAGCCCTGGGGCGTCCCCATGGGGGGGACCTGTGCCTCTGGGGCCCTGACAGCCTCTGTGTTCCCAGGGATCGCCGCCAGGTCCATGAAGCAGGAGCAGCCAGAGCTGCAGCTCATCTGCCAGGGTGAGGGAAGGCACCGTCCAGCTGATCCCCTTGGGCCCTGCTCCCTCCTGGTCATGGCAAGAGCTGCCTGGGATGGCCCGGCCAGGAGGGGCTCCTCGCGTCCCCCCACCCCTGGCCTCACCTTGGCTCTCTTTCCTTTCTCTTCCAGCCCTTCAAGGCATGACTGATGACAGCCCTGCCGTTTCAAACCTGGCACTTCAAACCCTCCACATCATCAGAGCTGTACGGAGAACTCCATTCTTCCCATTCTGGTAGTCTCCATTCCTGCCTCTTCCAGCCCGTAGAGGCGTGACAGGTGACATCAGACTCGCCATGGCAGGCCTGGCAATTCAACACTGCTACGTGCTAAGAGCTGTACAGACGGCTCCCTACTCCAGATTCCAGCGGCTCCAAGACTGGCTGTGCAGGGCGTGGAAGACCCGGCCTTTTCCACAGGGCAGTGTCTGCCTGTGCTGCTGCAGCTCTGTGGAGAACTGAAGAGGGAAGCTCCATCTCCTGGGGCCACGTGAGCCTGTGGGGAAGATGCCTCTTCCCTGCAAGCACCTCCTTTGAGCCCAGCATGGGAATACAACCAACATGTTATCACGCACAGAGGCCCAGGAGCTTTTTTTTGGTGCCCAGTGTGCACAGGGCCTTGGGGAAGAGGGGAAAAGGGCTCCTTGTGCTCAGCAACACTTGCCCTGCTGTGCAGCATGCCAGCAAAAGTGAGCAGAAGCCCCTTGGCCTTTGGTGGCTCTCCTGGAGCCTCAACGCTTGCAGCAGAGTGGAGGGGCAGAGGCTGGAGGTGTGGGGATCCCTGAGGACCTTGTCCTTGGAGATGGCCACAAGCCCTCCCCCAGGCAGGAAGCAGCGTCTGTGTCCTGCCTGTGTGTTGCTGGCTGGATTGCTCCGGGCTCCCAAGTGCCTCTGGAGCGGCTCCTCTGGAGCTCCTTCAGGGCTGCGCCGCTGCCGGGCAGGTTGGCGGGGCTGGGGGAGAGCCGCAGGGGAGGGGGCGCTGGGAGGCCAGGAAGGGGTGAGGTGCTGCAGAGGCCCTGATGGGACAAGGGAGCGGGAAGCCTTGAGGGGAATCTGGGAGGGGGTGGGTGGCAGAAGGCTGCGAGGGGACAGACTGGGCAGAGTCCCCGAGGGGCAGGGTGGAGGGAAAAGGCCCCAGGACTTGGGGGGCAGAGGCCATAGGCAGCCCCCAGGCAACCACCTCCTTCCCTGCCAGCCGGCTGCTCTGGTGCTTTCCCGAGGCATCTCGCAGCCCTGTGGCAGAAACCCTGGAGGCCTCAGCAGCAGGGTGGGCACAGCCCCAAGGGGGCCAGGCTGGCCTGGCTGGGGACAAGGAGGGCAAGGGGGCCCTGCTGGGGTACGTCTGCCGGGTGCTGCCGGCCAGGGGCAGTGGCACGGGCAGGGCTGGCGGCCAGCCCAGGCCCCCGCGGCTGCCCAGGCCACGGGGCTGTGGCCGACACCCCGCTGAGCCAGAGCTCTGGGCCCGCAGAGCTGCTGCCACCACGGGCAGGGCGCTGGGCTCCTCGGGCAGGCCTGCGCACTCGCTGCTGCCCAAGCGGCTCCGCGCCCCACACACAACAGCACCAGAGGCTGCCCAGGAGCAGCAGCACCCACAACGCCTGGGCCTCCTCACCCAGGCACCCACACCCACCAGGACGCCAAAAGTGGCCAGACTGTGGGCACAATTGCACCCGCTTTGGCAAAAGGCTTCAGGCCAAGTGGCCACCACAGCTTTCCAGTGACTCCCCAGCCTCACAGCAACCCTGGGCAGCTTCAGCTGCAGCCTGTCCTCCTCACTGACTTCAATGGCCCTGCTTGAGGCTGGACGTGCCTTCCACACTCAGCTGTCCCCAGCCAGCGCCATTGGTGCCATCCTTAGAGACTCTGCTGGGACACCAGCCTCGGGCTGCAGCTGCTCAACCTCTCCTCCACGCAGGCACCTTCAAAACACGGCCATGGGCTTCTAAACTCTACGTCCAGCACTTGAGGGCAACAAAGGAAGAAGCAGCAGAAGCTGAAGCAAAGCAGGGCCTCATGGGGCGGAGCTTCAGGGATGGAGGCAAGGAAGCACTGTGGTGTCTGCTGAAAAGATGGCCCAGTTCACCAGCTCACACTTTGCTGCTGGACGTTCCTCCTTTGGTCCTGCCGGAGCCCATTCCCTACCAGTGCATGGCCCTGCCTTGTTCCTGGATCCAATCTCCGTGACCCCTGGCATCAAGTGGGCCCTGTGTCCACCTGAGAGCAGAAACTGGCAGAACGTCTCTGCTTCCAGCACTTCTCTTGGCTGCTCCTTCAGGTGGGTGGCACCTTCATGGGAGACACAGAACAACTTCTCATCCCAGACTTCTCCCTGTCCCCTGCACTTCCCCAATGGACTGGACATCAGCTGCTGGCCACAGCTGAGCACACAGCAACTGGAGTGTTGAACATGTGAGACTGGGCTGATTTTTTTTTCCAGAAGGCAAGAAAATAAGCAAAAAGAACACAAGGAAGCTTGAGAGTCTCTCTGTCCAATCTACTTGTCCTCTGAAACTCAGCAGCTGATGGTGGTTTTGTGCTGCTGCTAATCACTTCCACCCAAAAATCATGCCAGGAAGGAACAACAGCTTCTGCCTTCTGACAGATGCCGAGTCTTGCCACCAATTGCTCCAGCTGCCGCTCCCAACAGCCACCTGCAAGAGGGCAGACCTCAGTGCCCCTTGGCTTTGGCTGCCCTCTGGCAGAGAAGTCCCCCGGGGGCACAGCTGTTTGGGGCAGGAGACGGGCAGCACCCTTGCCAGGACTCGGGGTGGTGGCAGGTCTCCTTGGGCCAGGACTTGCCAGAGGCTGTCCCTCAAGAATCCCGGGAGCAGGCAGGGAATGTTGAGCAGAGCAAGCCCTGCCCGGATGTGCCATCTGGAAGACACTGTTCTAGGGGGAATTCACTGGGTCTACCAACTCTTACTGACTGGCTTAATGACTCGGCCATGGTGTGTCCCTGTCACTCAGACCCTTCTTGGCCACACCTGACACTGTGATTCGTGTGACTGACAATACCTTTAACACCCCTGTAAGTAATCCTTGTTATTTGGGTTGCATCACAGATCAAAACATGTCTACCCTCCATCTACCATTAATAATTCCCATGGGCAGGAGAGCCAAACTGTGGCTCCCAGGGAAGCAGAAGCTGGGAGATTGAGGCAGGACACAGTGACTTAAGGAAACTTAAATCAAGAAATCCTCAGTGGATGGCTGATTGCTTGGATCATCTCTGCAGCAATCCCAGCAGCTACCGCAGCACGGCTCCTGCTGCACTGGCCATTCAGTGCAGGCCATGCCTGCAGTGCCAGTGTATGGGCACTGTGGCAGCACCAGGAGCAGGTGTTTCAGAATCTGTCTGGTTTCAATATTTCAAGTCCTCTGGAAGCGCATGGGACAAACCCAAAGACAAGAAGCCTGGGTCCTGGCCCTCTTGGCCGTGAACTCTGCGTGTCCAAACAAAACAGGGGCAGAGGTGGGACCAAGCGGAGTCACTCTGCACCTGCCCTGAGTTCATGGGAATGCAAAGGGAGGATGGACCTTGGCTGAGTGCTTGGAGAGAGAGGAGGTTGTTTCTCCAAGTGGAAATGCACTTGAACCAGCCTGCATGACCAGCCTGTGTTTTTCTCTGGTGGCTGAACACAGCCAGCACATGAGGCCAGGGGAATGTGTGGGATCAGGGAACTGCTTTGGGGCAATGCTGGGAATTCCAGTGGACTAAAAGACAAACACGGGGTGCTGCTCACGAGAGAAGAGGAATAAAAGGGGACATGGAAAAAATGTCAGCAGGCAAGTCCCGCAATGGAACTCTGTGTGCGCAGCCTCATTTTCTCCTTCAGCGCCCACAGGCGAGGGAGAAAAAAGTGGGGGTTGGGACCCCTAAACTGTTCAGAGGGAAATTGGGGATTGAGGGGAAAATGGGAAAGTGGGAGGAACAGGGAGAAGGGTGGAAAAGTGGGTGGTCTGGCGGGTCTGATGATCCCATGGGGGTCTTTAGGCACAGGGGAGTTGGGAAAGAGGGGGCCCCCTGAGCTCCCAACTTCCTGTGGGGTGCTGGGGGCTGCTCAATCCAATCTCAGCTTTGCATTATGCCAACAGTTGCAGTTTAGAGGAATGACAGAGGTGTGACTGAAACACTTTTGTCCCCCAGGCTTTAATGATGGCAAATCAGATCTATTGATAGAAATGAATTATTTAGGGTTACAAATGATCAGACAAAAGATCTTCATCAGAATTATTTATTGCACAATAGAAACACTAAAACTACCAGTAAAACTACAGGATAAGATAGGACAGTGCTCTGCACTAAAGCAATTGTTGAAGCAATGCTACTCAAGCTGGCACAAAAGCAAGAATTCTTAATTAGAGATGGATGGAACTCCCCCAGACCAACGCTCGGGGTGAAATCTCTGCTCTCAACCTCCAGCAGTGACCTTGTGGAGTCCCCAGCCAAGGCAGGAATCTCCACACACCCCCCAAGAAGGGTTCTGTTGGAAGAACCTGCCCCTGGGAAAGGGGACTGGCCCTTTGTGGTCGAAAGGGATGGACTGACAGTCACTGGACTCCAGGGGTTGCCTCCCCATCAGGGGCTTCATTCGGGGTGGAAGCAGCAGCCAAAGCTCTTCCCGCAGTCGGGGCACTGGTAGGGCTTCCCTTACTGGTGGGTCCGTTGGTGTCTGGTCAAGGCAGAGCTGTGGGTGAAGCTCTTCCCACACTCCCCACACTTGAAGGGCCTCTCCCCAGTGTGGATGCGCCGGTGGGTGACGAGGTTGGAGTTCTGGTTGAAACTCTTCCCGCAGTCGGTGCAGCGGAAGGGCCTCTCATCCGTGTGCGTCCGCTGGTGCACGAGGAGATGTGAGCTGCGTTTAAACCTCTTCCCACACTCCCCACACTTGTAGGGACGTTCCCCAGTGTGGATGCGCCGGTGGGTGACAAGGGTGGAGTTCCGGTTGAAGCCCTTCCCGCAGTCGGCGCAGTGGAAGGCCCACTCCCCTGTGTGTGTCTGCTTGTGCTTCAGGAGATCTGAGCTGGTCTGAAACCCCTTCCCACATTCCAAGCACTTATAGGGCCATTCCCCGATGTGGATGCGCTGGTGGGAGCGGAGGGTGGAGCTGTCACTGAAGCTCTTCCCACATTCCCTACACGTGTAGGGCCGTTCCCCAGTGTGGATACGCTGGTGTCGTTTCAGGCTGGAGCTTTGGTTGAAGCTCTTCCCACATTCCCCACACGTGTAGGGCTGTTCTCCACTGTGGATGTACTGGTGGGTGAGAAGGTTGGAGCTGTTACTGAAGCTCTTCCCACATTCCCCACACGTGTAGGGCCGTTCTCCACTGTGGATGTGCTGGTGTCGGATCAGGTGGGAGCTAAACCTGAAGCTCTTCCCACATTCCAAGCACCTGAAGGGCTTCTCCTTGCTGGGAGGCTGCTCAGGGACCACCAGGTCAGAGGTATGGCTCAAGCTCCGGGCACCTTCCCGGCACAGGCTGAGTCTTTCCTCCTCAGAGCACCCTGGGCTGGCTTTGGAGCCCCTCCTGTGGGGGGATCTCCAGCCCTTTTCCTCCCCGCTGCCTTCCTGCGCCGTGGAGCCCTTCAAAACGGCCTCTCCCACCAGGGTCTCACGGGGGGATTTGTCCTCTGGGCTCTCTGTCCTCAGCTCGGGGCCTGGGGCAGGAAGCAAGAAGGACAGGGAGGGGATTTGCCTCCGGCCCACAGGGAAGGCCAAGGACATCTCCCCAACTCCAGCCCCGGCAGGACGGCGGCGGCAGCGGGGTTGTCCTGCAGCCGGGGGCCATGCTCGGCTGCCAGAGCCAGCACAACACCCGCCCAAAGGGCCACTGACTTCCTCCTCACCTGCCTGGGGGGCCCGAGGCATCTTCCTCTTCCTCGCAGCCTCCTCCTCCATCCGCCCAAGCTTTGGGAAGGACAAATCCTGATGGGAGAGAAAACAAGGGCTGAGCGCATTGGCTTGGGGGTTCCTCCTGCCCAAGTCCCTCTCTAGAACTCATCGGGCATCCTGTGTCCATAAAACCTCCAAAACACCAAGATTCAGCCCAGAAAAACCCAAACCACCGACATTCAGGCAAAAAACCCTCAGAAATAGCAGGAAGACCCCTGCCCCCTCAAACTGTAAAAAGTTGAGATTCAGCTAAAAAATACTCCAAAATATGAAGATTAGACCAAAAAATCTCTCCCAAAACCAAACTGGGGTGGGGGGGCAGCCCAGGAAACCAGGGCTTTGCTCCCTCAGCTCTGCAGGGGCTTGCCACGGGCTCTCGGTCTCTTTTGGGCATCCCCTGCTCCGGTGTGGGCTCCTCCCGGGCTGCAGGGGGGTCTCTGCTACATCCTGGACTCATCCACAGGTCACAGGCCCTTCAGCTCAGGTTCACCCAGAGCTCCAGCCAGTTCCGTGGAGCAGCAATCCCCTGGCCCCTTGCCAGTGCGGGCACCTCGCCAGGGCTGTTACTCGAGGTTCTCTGGCCCCCTGCCAGCCTGGAGCTGTTTCTCCAAACCACAAGACCAAGTGTGCCAAACGCCCTGTTTGGTCAGTGCCGGCTGGGGGAGCGGGCACTCGGTGAGGGGATGAGAAAACTGCACCTGGGGCTGGGCTGAAAGAGGCTTCAGCACCACTTCTGATGGCAGCCGGCGTTGGCTGGGGGGATGTGAGGGCTGGGCCTGCTCAGCACAGCCCCGGCCTCGTGCCCAGCACCTCTTTCCTGCCCCACACAAGAGCTTCCCGGCCCCCCCAGGGCTCCCCTGCTGCTGCTTCTGCTCCTGGCCCTGCCTTTGCTGCTCCCTTGGCTGGGGCAGCGGCTGCAGGGGGGGGATGGCAGCAGCTTCAGCTCCACGGCACTTCCTGGGGGGAGCTCAGCCCAGGGGGGACGGGCAGGGACCTGATGGGGATGGACAGGGGCCCAGCAGGGACAGCCAGGGCCTGCAGGGGAAGGCACAGGGACAACCTGGCCCCCCACACTGCCAGAGCTGTCTCTGCTCCTCCTTGCAGGCTCCGTGGCCAGGCACAGTTTGTGTTCCTGGGTGCCACCATCTCAGCACTTGGAGCCGCTCAAATCAGCGCCCGCAGCTCTGCAGCAAAGCCCCAGCTCACCTGGCACACAGGGGATGGACACAGCACCTTCTTGGGGATGGGCATTCACAGCTTTTCCTTCTTCCCCACCACGGGGGTCTCATTCCTCAGCAGCACCTCTGCCTTGCACTTATTCTCAGGTTCACCTCAGGGACAGCTCTGGGCTCACCTCTGCACCACTTCTCAGCCTCACCTCAGGGCCTGGGCTCAAGGACAGGAACCTGCAGGGAGGGGACATGATGTGCAAGCTGAGGGCTGCCTGCTTGCACTGGCCTCTGGGCTTCTTTCTCCTTCTAGAACTATCCCAGAACTTAGCCTGCTTTTCTAACACCACACATTTACACACTAACCCTGCAGACAGATATGGACAGACATCTCTATCACCCTGGGGATAGAGCCTCAAGCTTGTGCTGCCATAGGAATGGCAATCAGAGAATCACAGAATCAGCCACGTTGGAAAAGACCTCCGAGATCATCAAGTCCAACCCTTGATCCAACCCCGCCGTGCTTCCCAGACCATGGCACTGAGGCCACATCCACTCTCACCTTCAACACCTCCAGGGACGCTGACTCCACCCCCTCCCTGCCCAGCCCATTCCAAGGCCTGATTACTCTCTCGGCAAAAAATTCCTTCCTAATATCCAACCTAAACCTCCCCTGGCACAGCTCAAGACCCAGCCCTCTTGTCCTACTGCTGCTTCCTGGCACAAGAGCCCCACCCCCACCTGGCTACAACCTCCTGGCAGGGACTTGCAGAGAGTGATGGTTCATGCTGGGGACCTGAGGGAGCCTCTGCAATCCCATCCATGGGGCACAATCTCCTCTCCAGAGCTTGACTCACTGCAGCCTTCGCAGGGAAATCTCTGCTCGCAGCTGCATCCTGAGCCCAAAGTCAGTTTGTATCCCCAAGTGCTGATCCAATGGGTGCCCTGGGATTGGAGCCTGGGCTCTAATTAACCTCTCCTGTGCTGCCAAACAGCAGGAGCTGTATGGACAAGGGACAAACTCTGTGATCCCTCTCAGCGTCCATGGTCCCTGTCAGTGTCCTTCAGGGAAATTGGGAGGAGGAAATCAAAGAACTGGTTTGGAACCAAACTGGTGTTCAAGTGGGAAAAAGCTCCTTCCATGGAAATAAAACTTAGACAGTTTTTCCTGGGCTGAATGAGCTCATTCAGGGATGAAGGACTGGGACTTCTGTGGACACTTGTGCTGGTTTCTTTGGACACTTGTGTTCCTTCAGAGAGCCCCTGGAAACACTCTGCTGTTCACTCCCAGTGCCACCAGTGCCTGGGTCCTGTCTGCAGCAGCAGATTGCAGTGGGACGGGAGAAATGCTTTTCTGAGCCTCTGGGCTGGACACAGGCACAGCCTGACCCTGAACCCAAGGGAAACAAAGACAAATTCCACGGCTTTAGCTGGACCAAGGCTGGGGGGGTTTTCCTGAGGGCAGCACTACACCAGACTTTTGTGTGTGTGTGTGAGACAGGCAGAAGCACAAATGCCTGCACAGCCCAGAGCAGTCAGTGTGGGGCTGGGCTTGCTGCTGCAGAGACCCCCAGGGAACAAACCCAGGCAATAGTTTGGGTTGATTCCTTGCTCTGTGTCAGTGGAATAGAATGTTCCACAGGAGCTCTGTCCCCCTCTGTGGCACCGGGGGGCTCAAAGCTGAAGAGGGGGGGGTCAAGTGCAAGTTCCCTTCTGAAGTGTGTGTCCCTAAGGAGGACACTTGCCTTATTATTGCTTATTATTTGTAATATCTTACAGATCTATCATACAACACCGAAAGATGGATTCTATAGAATATGTGCCATATATATGATACAGAATATATCTGATTATTGCTTTATCTGCCTGTCCAGACAGATATTGTGTATGCACAGAGATTGTATTTGAGGGATATGTTCCTCTCAATACCCTGTTAGCTCCACTCCCAAAGCCACCAAATTCCTGAAGCTCCCACTTCTGTGCCCTGCAGGTTTTGGCAGATTTGCAAGAGCAGGGGAATCATTCTCTGCAGCCCCTTTGCACTGTAGGAAATGGGAGCACTGTGCACATCCTGCTGCCTCCAGATTCCATTCTGGGGGTGGGAACGACCCTGTGGGAAGCAAAGAAATGCCTGGTTCTGCAG